CCTCACTGACCCTCTGCAGGTGGTGAGTCCACAGGAGTCCACTTTTATATTGTATGTTTTTAGAAATGTAAATGATATATAATGATAGGTAAATCATAGAATCATACAAAATATATAATGATATATATCCTAGCAAAAGCATGAAGGATAAACCTTTCGAAAGCCTTCTCTTTGTGAAAGAGGGACATGTTGTATTAAACCCAGCACAAAATAGTTTGTAGGATTTTTTTTATTTATTTTTTAAAGAAAAATATATATAAAAACATTTATTAAACAAGTTTGAATTTCCACAAACTTGACTCAAACCAGACTATTTGTCCTGGAGGAGGCTGTCCTTCTGTTTGTTCTATATTGGCTACATATTTCTTTCAACAAAAAGGTCCCAAATTTCCCCTCCTCTATGGTTTCTTGCTGGGACTCTGAGGAGCACAAGGACTCTGAGGAGCACGGGGACCTGGTCAACTTCTGCGACTCTGAGGAGCACAGGGACAAGCCTCATGCAGGGACTCTGAGGACCACAGGGACTGGCCTCCTGCAGGGACAATTATAAGCAAGTTTGAATTCTAGTCCCATAGTATAGTTTTAACTTTGAGTCGTACAGATGCTCCTCCACCTCCAGAATTGTTCATGTCTCAGCAGATGTCTGTATTTGCTGGAGTTTGGAGATCAATTACAAACTAAAACCACACAGTATATCAACTCCTACATGTTAGGTCACTTTATTCCCACTGCAGAATGTGTCACAACAATTTACTGTCCAAAGTCGCTTGTGGAATAAAAGTAAATGAAAGTGTGACAGAGGGCGGTGAGGATACAGGGAGGAGAGAGGAACCCCGCTGACTCCTCCACAAGGCACACGCTGCATATTTCATCTGCCCAGGCTGCTTTGCTACGAATAAAACAACCATGAATTATTGATACTGGTCTTTCCTATGCATCGCTGCACCTCACTGCAACATCGCTGGACTTTATTCACTCTCACCACGACAAGGGTTTTGCTTTGGCGAGAAGTCTATTGTTAGCGCCGTTGGAGCTGCTTTCGCCATTTCATATCAGGAGAGTTGAGATCTTTACGTTTTTCAATACATCTGGGACTCGATTAGTGTCTCGTTAGTTATGAATCAACTGGAAAAAGCACAGGGACAGGCCTCCTGATGGGATTTTGAGGATTCACAGGGACAGGCCTCCTAATGGACTATTAGGATCACAGGGACTGGCCTCCTGCTGGGACTCTAAGAAGCACAGGGACAGGCGTAATGCTGGGACTATGAGGAGCACAGGGACTGGTAGCCTTCTGGGACACTGAGGAGCACAGGGACTGGCCTCCTGATGGGACTATGAGGAGCACAGGGACTGGCCTCCTGATGGGACTATGAGGAGCACAGGGAGTGGCCTCTTACTGGGACTCTGAGGAGGACAGGGACTAGTCACCTTCTGGGACATTGAGGAGCACAGGGACTGGCCTCCTGCTCGGACCCTGAGGAGCACAAGGACTGGCCATCTGCTGGGACTCTGAGGATTATGCAGCTTACGTCTGGAACAGTCTTCCTGAAAATGTGAGGCAGGCTCCTACTCTGACAACGTTCACAACACAGACTGGATTCAAGTCATTCTGAACCTTAAAATGTCTGTGTTAGCCTTGGTTTGGGCTGGTCTTCCGATGGTGAACGTGTCATGGTAGTGGTGGTACAGGAGAAATATATCCAGTACATACGTCGCTATAATAAACAGTTAAGTGGAAGCTGTGAAAAGTCCATTAGTTCTAGAGAGTCCTGCCGTGTCCCTTACTTTCATCAGTCAAAATACCTTGTGTCCCTTTTTAGTATTACCTTTGTCATTAGTTTCTGATATAATTGCAATAAACAATGTTGCCATACATTTTCCTTCCACTTTGCTTCGCTGCACCGTTGATCAGCTGCCGTTCATGCTTGAGTCTCTCGCTCTCTGCTCCCTCTGCTCCAGCCGTTGGCAACGCATTTGTGTACATACACACAAACAGGGCTTTTTCTCCGCATAATCCTCTGTAACACTCACGGCCCAAAACCCACATATTATTCACTGCTCCACTTACACAAGCACAGAAGATAAAAATAACTTAGATGTCTCAAAGCTACGGCCGGAGTCCCCACAGTATCTTGAATGCATCATAGACAGAGGGACAAGTCAGGGTTGGCCGCTGTCTCTGAAGTTGTGACGAACTGTTCGAATCAGTCACTTTGCTCGAAGATATCGCACATTCCAATAGTGTGACACAAGGCCGTCAGTCAAGAGTCCCCAGAGTTGCTCAAAAAGTACCACAGAGCTACAAGAAATCACCTGTTACCCACTGCCCTTAAGGGTATCAGAGCCAGAGTGACCTACTATTTCTGGAGAATTCATTCAAACTTGAGCCGAGATCTATGCAGTATCTCGCTGAAGGAAAAAAGTAGGGCTGAATTTTTTCATAGACTTTATAGATGGACAATACTAGCCTATTAGCTCAATGAAGCTCATGGATATTTTACTTCTCTAGCTCAGAAACCGTTTGTGTCACACTCCCCGTTTTGAGCCTTAAAAATCTGTAAATTACCGCTCTCTGTGTTCCTAGTGTTTTTATTTTTTTTATAAATCCAGAGGCCTTCCTTGGTGGGGGAAATCTCTATAGCTTGATAAAGAAACATCTATATATTAATCTGAAATGCACTCTGAAGTAATAAGTCATTAGCTCCCAGGGTTCAAATATTCAGTGAACAAATTACTTTACATGTTAGCAGTATGAGGCTTAATACAGTATATACAGTCTATGGCTCTAACATGTGACTGTGGAAACATATGGTCCCATATTGCATAGTCTGGCACTATTGTACATTATTGCACAGATGCATGATATGTGAGGTCAGGTCTGTAATTTAGCTTGAATTGGTTCTAATGTTTCAAAACATGTGATGCCAATAGAAAATCCCAGTTAGAATGTAGAAATAATACTTGAAACTACTAACGCAAGCTGGCATGACCATAATGGGTAATGAGTTGTTTTACTTCAGAAATCTATGCATCCACTGTTACAATACCACTGCTACTGCTCCGACTTATACTCCTACTCCTTCTACTGCAGCAAAGTCTCACTGATATCATTGCACTGGGAGGTGTCACATTCCTCCAGTTAAAGTAGTATGTGATGCAACGTCTAGTTTCAGTGTGGCTTTTTATAATCTGCCATTGTGTAAGTGAATCCTTGCGAGCACTCCAGGGCCCAGAGCAGAGGAGGAGAGACGAGCACTGGTCTGAGAGAGTTTTTCAGTTTGTCTGGGTGGATGATATTGATCGTTCGTACAGAGATTCTGCCAAAGAGTCTGAGCCAACAGTGTATTCTACCAGGGCTGAGGTGGCGGCAGCTAGCATCACAAATATGTATCAAGATCAACAAGCAACGCAGTAATATAGCAACAGAGTGGGTATAAGAAGCTATGAACTTTAAAGTCTGGTGATATCTTGGTGTATGATTTTGTATTTTGCCATAGAAAAATTCTGTCAAAGCAAATTATAGCCAAGATATGCTGTCATTGTCTTATCACATATACTGTTTGTAGATAGACAGTGCAAACCTTCTAACTCAAAAAAGCCCAATAGAGAAGTGTTCATGGACAAAGTTTTGCTCTGGCTTGAATAAAGTTATATTGAAAAAGTAGACTGGTCATCAAAATCTGTGGTTTAGCGCTCTCTATGATACCATAATGATTGACCAATTAGATCCATTAATTTGCGGGGGAAACTCTATCTAGCAACCATCTTAGCAATATGCCTATCCCGGCTAACGCAAATGTCCACCTAAGGGAATTGGCTCCAGCGTTATCTCGACTGCACTTTTCCATCTGAAAAAGCTGAAAAAGCAAAGCAAATCTCAAGGCCAAAACTGTGAAAACTGATGATGTAGGGAACATCATCAGGGTCAACAGATGCTTTTGCAGAATTATCATTTTATTATATGGACATGGCTTGGTCTGCAGTCGACTGGCATTAATAATTACATTATAAAAGTAACTATGAAAATCAACAATGCTTCTCAGAAAACTAGATTAATTGCAAACACTGATTCAAATACAGGAAATACTAGTGAAGGGGCTGCAGGATTTGTATCCCCTCAAACTTCAGGTTATTATCCCATTGTAGTTCCATTGTGTTTTAAAGTAGAGGTTGGTCCTATAAGCAATGACTGAACTGAATGACTGAAAAAACCTACTGTATATGACATTATGGGCCACTAAACAGACATGTTGTACCTCAAAATGAAGGCCTAATCAAGTTGTTGACTGAAAAATATTATCCAAGCAATTCAGATCCAGCAAAATGTCCAATATCAGCACATTGGACAATTCCCAAATACACACTCATATATCACACACACAGCTTATATACACATCACCAAATCTGCCGTGTCTTACCTCAACCAGGTGTGGTGTGGGGTTGAATCCGCACAGGTTGCAGACTTGGCTGTGACACTGGGTGCAAGAGTTGTAGTTGGGTGGGTCCGAGCTGCCGATGTTCAGCTCCGTTTTGCACAGCGGGCAGTTGACTTTCGGCTTCTCCGGTTCCGGTGGAGGCGGAGCAGGAGTTTCCTTCACCACCGGGACTGCTACAGGTACCGGCTGCTGCTGTGGAATCGGTTGGGCTTCTTGATGCTTGGCAGGCCCTTTGTCTAGATGGGAAGGTTGTTGGTGAACCTTTTGTTGCATCCCCATTGGCTGCTGCTGCTGCATGCCATGTTGCTGCTGCATGCCATTTTGCTGAAGCATGCCATGTTGCTGCTGCATGCCATTTTGCTGCTGCATGCCATGTTGCTGCTGAGACTGCGGTTGGGTTTGCCATGTTGAGGCTGAATTGTCCTAGCGGTCCTCCCATGTGCCCATGACCCATTGGCGCATGCGTTGGTTGGGTTTGCTTCTGCTGTTGTTGGGACTAGCTGTTGCTGCTGTGACCTGGCCCCGAATTGCCGGACTGGGCCTAGCGGTAGCGGGTCCTCCCTAGCTTGGTTCAACCATGATCCCATTGGCGCATGCGGTCCACTCGTTGCGGCCGGTGCGCTGGAGAAGACCCCGCACTCCTGGTGTGGTCCGGCTGACGCGGAATCTGCTGATGCATCGGCGAACCACCACGACCCAAATCTGGCTGCGATGGTGCTTTAGCCAAGCCCGGAAGAGGTACCGCTCCTGGGTGTGGGATCCTAGGCTGGTTGGGACCTCCTTGAGCAGAAGGACCTCGCTGAGCATAAGGATCTGATTTGAAGCCTTGTTGCGGGCCGCTTTGTTGAGGTCCAACGTGGTGAGGTGGTCCTGTGTGAGGCTGAGGATGGCGTTGTTGCAAGCCGGGAGATGGGTGTGCTTGGCTAGGCTGCGGGTAAGCCTGCTGCTGCTGCTGCTGTTGTGGATGGTACTGGTTGGATTGGGGATACTGGGAGTAAGGTTGCTGAGGCTGATGTTGCTGTTGTTGTTGATGTTGTGGTTGTTGTTGATGTTGTGGCTGTTGTGGCTGTTGTTGATGGGTGGGAGTGGGCTTGGGCTGCTGCTGAGGTTGTGCCTGGGGTTTGGGTTGGGCCGGTGGTTGCTGGACTGGGGCCTGTTGTGGCTGGACGATGGGTTTGGCCTGGTGGGACGGGGAGTGGATCTGCTGTTGGCTTTTAGAACGTGGCGTGGTCATATCGATGCCTAGAGCGCGCTGCATCTGACAGTTTAGACACAGCCATTCCTGCACCTACGGAGACAAAGAGGAACATGGAATAGGGCTATTAGAAAAAGTCAATCAATCAACAAAAAATTATTAATATATCACTTTTCATAAAATGTGATAGAAAGTGTCTCATTAGAAACGATCCCAAATGCCATCTGTCATGTCATGGCTTCCGCCTGCTCATCTGTTTCATCATTGTCTGTTTCATGGTGAAATGATTGGACCCCTGAATCCAGCCTTTTTATCTGTACCTCTCTCCCCATCTGGGAGCCTCTTCAGTCTAAATCTATTGCCTGTCTGTTCATGGGAGCGGATCTCTCTCTCTCTCTAAATAGGCCTTCACACTTTTCTACTCCACTGGGTTGAGTTGTTACTGGCAGATGCAGCAGTGTCTGAGGAGAGTGATGATCCTGGACATTTAAGGACATTTATTTATCTGTGCAGATTGGTCATCCTACTCCATTTCTACCAATGGCTACTTGGTGTTTGTTAACTTTGCAATATTGTCTGAGATGACTTCTGTTTTTTTATTTAGAGCTAGACAAAAATAAATTGAATTGCCAAAATAACCACCAGTTGGTGCAAAAAAAAAAAATCCAGTTTAAATACGTTGATGCAGTGTGAGACCTACTTGTGAACTAGAGTAGATAGTAGATACATGCACATTCCACTCATAAAGGTAAACTATGGGAAAATCTTCAGATTTTTTCCTGCTATAAAGATATCTTGACAGATAGTAGTTGCTTGCATAGAAATTTCATTTTCAGTTTAAACAATAATTAATTACTGTGAAACCATCTCCTTACCAAGCAATATTCTCTCGGGAACAGCTGACTTGCTTTTCCCTGTTCTCTTGGAACTGACCTTAGCCTCATAACGACCATCCTCCTGGCAACAAAAAACTGAATGGCGTTTGTCCAAACCGTGGCTTCCAATTCATTTGCTCTAATGCAACCGTGACAGTGCGATTTTCAAGTCCACTCCTTTGTGTTCCAATTACCCAGTAAACTCATTCTAACAGACAAAATGGATCATACATATTTATTATAAGAAATACTAAAAACAATCTGAGTTGAACCGTAAAGTACAACTAAAGATCAACCATTTACAAGTATAATAATGAAATAAATCCTAGCCCAGCTAAGCCTAGCCGACTGAATGCGAAGCGTGATCATAATTTTAGCAGATCCTAATAAGAAAAAAACAACTCACTTAGTCAAAATTGAGATTTCGGCTTGCCTCAACTTAAAGAAACACCCTTTGAACTGCAATATAATTACTGTATATTGAACATTACTGGTCTATCTCCCACATTATGAGAAACACTTCGACCGGCATCACATTACATTGAACATTTGGGATGCTTTGAGACCAACCGCCATCTTTTACACATACAACACATGGATTTTAGTAAGTAATTTCTTGGTTTGGGCTCGAACTGGTCCAATCCTGCTCTATTTACTGCTATTGATTGCCTTTTAAATCGCGGCTGCTGCTGACTAAGACCAACGAGTCGACTCTTCTTATCTCATTGCTAGCATATGTCCCACTGTAGCCTTCCCCTCATCCCACATCAAAGCCATAAATCTGGGCCATGCATCCAGACGGCTACTCTGCCGCTAACATACGTGCCGAGCTGTACCGCATGCAGAGAGAGAAAGTATGAATTGTAATGAATGGAAGTGAAATGTAGTAGTAAAATGACATGTGAATGGTTTGACAAAGCTTGAGATGAATCCGAGTGATGTTGTACCCACTTTTGTTGATTCTCTCCCAAATCCTCCATCGGAAAACACCTCTCACGTTAGCATCGTACCCAAGGGCTACTACAAATAACCGCATTTAGCTCGGCGATCGGAGCTTGTAAATCTGAGCATGCTTCTCCCCTCCGTCCCCCTTTAAACTCCCCAGAATGCATTGCAGTACAGTAGAGCTAGGCAGCCGCGGCACATCCTCCTTCCTCCCTCTCTGGATCCGACGGAAGCCCTAATTTTCCCTTCCATCACCGAGCAAAAGATGTGCCAGTTTGCGCGTCTTGCAGCTGCCTGGATGCTTGTGTGCCACGTTTGGGATTATTCGCATAAATCTGTCAACTCAGTGGCAGCGGAGGCAAGACATCCTTTGCATTTTAAATGTTGGAAGCTTTTAGAGAGTCTGCCTAAACGCACTTGTCATCGTTGGGTTTAATAATAGCGGAAATGGTTGGATGGAGTTGAATGGAGCTAAAATGCAACAGTGAGTAATACACTAGTAATTTGCATAACGCCTTGGTCTAGAAAGTTTTTGGTTCAAGTCTTTCCAAGATACAAAAGATACAATTATATGAAAATGTGAGGAATTGGAAACATAAACATGGGGACTAAACATGGTGAGGCAGTGCTTCTGATCCATGCAGATAATATCTGAAAATTACAGTTCTATTTTCCCTGTGAATACAAACGTAGGACTGTATCCTTAATTTGTAATGTGTTTTTTATTATGTTAATCCCTTCTATGATATTAATGTTCGTTTTTTATGCCCTGTTTTTAATGTTTATGATTTATGCCTAATGTGAAAGAGGCAGTGAAGCATGTTGTTCCTTCACAATGTCTAACACATGGCAAAGCGCTCTACAAATAAGGGTAAATTGATTGATTAAGTAAAATTGGGAGAGAAAATTGTTGTGAACTATCCATCCATTCTCTTCCGCCTCATCCATTGCTGGGTCACAGGTGTCGAGGCTTTTGTTAGGAAATACCAATGTTGTATTCCATCCCATCTCAAACATTTCACTTTTTGTAAATATAATGTATAGTTTTAGGAAATCAATAGAGAATACTATTACAGAACAAAATGACCAGATTTTGTGTGAGTAAATAATGCAGCGTTTGAATCTCCAGCTATTCCAAACATCTGGCTAATGGCACATCTGGCACAGAATCTGTTCTGGGTTCATTAATATAAAGCACTTGGCTGCACTGGTGAGTGCAGACGATCATGAGACGATCTATCGGTAAATTGAATGAATGGTTTGAGAGGTGAGAGGAACAGAGCGTACAGCAGCTGGGGAGGCACAGAGGCTTTGACTTAATGCATAGATAATTTTAAATACAATTGAACATAGTGCAGATAGAGAGACATCGTTTAGTTGCCATTTTAAATAAATAAGTAGTAGTAAAAGCAGGCTGCAGTTTCACAAACAATGCTTAAAACAAAATCAAATTAATGAATAAATAAATGTATTTTCTGTCTGTTATTGACAAAAAAAAACACATCCTACTTTTATTTTTTTACCGAAAGGATAAAAAATATGCACATTTATTATGACCAACTACATATTTGCTTCTGTGTTTCTCATTACACAACATTGAAAGTTTATTTGTTTTTAAATGATTGAGCAAAGAGAATACAGCTACATTGGTGCTGCTCACATCACGTAGATCCAGTGTCTCAGAATTTCCAAGATCATATGAAAGTGGGTTGAGTCCTTTCTACAGTCTATGTTTTGAACCAAGTGTAAAACTGTATGAGTACATGTTTAAGTATGAGTACTGTGTGACATTTCCAGGTATGATTTGTAAAGTTGCATAAGCAGTTCTTACAAAAATCCCACAACATTCTACACAACGAACGTCTGAGCCGCCTTCTCGGAATAATTCTAGCCTAATCAAACCCTGGGAGGATGTGAATATGAGATGATTTGAATGATTTCTGCTTGTTGCCTTTGAACTATAACAGGAACCGCAGTAACCGCCTCTGATTTTGCTTTGCCACATCAAGTCAGCGCTTTTTAAATCCATCCTCGCCTCTCCTCTGTGCGTCGAGGCTAATCGCACACGCTTTGAAAGAGCATCTTCAGTCGACGTGTTGAGAATGTATTGGAAATGCGCGGTCTATAAATGAAGCAGTAAAATGGTCTAATTATATTCTGGAGAAATGTCTATAAAATAGTGCTGGACACATTCTTTCAAAGCAAGAATATTTCAATCATTTTCCAACTTTTTCTGATTGTAAATATAAATCTTAAGTTAAGACTTTTATGTGTGGTTGCCAAGCTATAAACACACTGCCTCCTATCTAATGATAAGTAGTTATTTATACGTTTGGAAGTTTCATGTTTTTGCTGTAGTTTTAGAAAAGGAGAACCCACAGACATTATTATTTAGGGACCCAACCATTCACTGTATACAGATGGACAATGCTCAAGTTTTGCTCTCGCTCTGGCTCCTATTGACTTGTTAACTGCTTGTGCCACACTGACCAATTTGGGTTTAAAAATCTATGGTTTGGTATTTTCGATCATGGTGTTTATATACTGTACTGATATTGTCTTTGTAAATCCAGATTTGAACCCTAACAACTGACCAATCAGGAGCCTTCTGTGGCTGAATTCAGTTTTAGCTAGCAAGTAATTACTCAGGCGTAGCGACAGACTACTTTCCATACATTATACTCCACATTCCTGCCGGTTTGTGCTCTATGCAGCCATCTATCTAAAACTCAAATGTTTCAGTTGATAGAGCTGTGATGAGTATATCCAACCACAAGGTAATACCCTCAATTACTCAGTCAATCAAAAATGTATTTCTATAGAAAAGTTAATAACAAAACGCAATCCAAAGAGCAACAGTCAAAAAATTAAAACACACTGTAAAACACATGCAAAACGGCCACTAAGAGCAAAGATGAGCAAAGAACTGTTATGGTAGCAATTTGTCTAACTCCTTCAAGAAGATTGTTCCATATTTTTGGTGCATAGGTCTAGAATGCTGCTGCCCCATTTCTATCCCTGACCCCAGACACCAGCAGGAGGCCAGTCCCTGTGCTCTTCGGTGTCTGAGTGGGTTCCTATGGCACTAACATGTCACAGATGTACTTTGGTGCGAGGCCAAGGAGAGGCTTGGTTTCAAGTCTAAAGTCTGAGCCACAGGAAGCTAGCAGAGACCTGAGAACTGGACTTGTGTGATCGTACTCACTGGTTCCAGTCAGGACTCGACCTGCAGCATTTTGAATGTACTGAAGCCGTTTCATAGCTC